CTCATTGGGTAATGGTGCTTGCCACCGAACCTGAGTTCAATCCCAGGAACCTATGTGGTAGAACGAGAGAACTGAGGACCAAAAGTTGTCTTCTGATCTCTACACATGCACTGTTATCGTGTGTAACACACAAACAAAATAAATAATACCACAAAGGAGCTGGGGATGTAGGTCAGTTCACTGAGTATACTTGTTTAGCATGCACAAGTCTTTGGGTTCAACACGCCAGCTTTGCACAAACCAGGTGTGAAAGTGCACACCCATAATGCCAGCACTGGGGAGATGGAGGCAGGAATATTAGAAATTCAACATCTTCCTTGGCTACATAGGGCGTTTAAGACCAACCTGGGCTACATGAATCTCTGTCAAAAAACAAAACACCCATAAAAAGAACAAAAAGAGAAAAAAGGATTGGGCAAAACAAAGAGAAAACCTGACTCACTGAGGCCACAATGTGAATGTTTCCTCTCCAGCTCTGGATTCCTCCATAGCGTCCATCTCCCACCTCCAGTACTGCCCTGGACTGAGCCACAACCAGCTACACTGTATTCCCTATCCTGGCTCCCTGCTGTTCCCTGCCTTGAATAGCCTGCTCCACATTCTTCTGGAAACCAGCCTGTGCTGGGGCAAGCTTCTCAACCTTTCAGAGGACCCTCTGGATAGGTGAGGGCCAGCCCACTGTGCCTCTCTACTGTCCATCCCCTTCATTCTCCATGGCTGCTTGAGATCCCTAACCTCAGGTCAGGGCTGTCCTTCTCATCAGTCAGATGAGTGTGATGGGCAGGTCTCAGGTCCTATGGTAGCAAGTGGAGAAGCCATGGGACCCTATGGCACCCTGTTTGATTGACAAGCATCCTGGGTCTTCACACAGCTTCAAGGTCAGAGGCAAAACCGGGGATTTTACCCCTCATTTCTTTGCTTTTATTCCTGTGTGTGAATGTGGAAGCTAGAGGTGGACATCGGGTATCTTCTTCAATTGCTCTCCACCTGATTTTTTGTTGTTGTTCTTTTTGAGACAGGGCCTCCCTGAAGTCCTATCTAACCTGAAACTTACTATGTAGACTAGCTGGGCTCAAACTCACAGACTCACCTGCCTTTGCCCCTGCCTCCCGATTGCTGGAATTAAAGCAGCTCACCACCATGCCTGGCCTTCCACCTGATTTTTTGAGACTGTCTCTCACTGAATCTGGAACTCACCAATTCTGCTATACTGGCTGGCCAGTGAGCCTCAGGGACTCTCCTGTATCCCCCAACCCCCAGTGCTGGGATAACAGGTGTAAACCACTGTACCTAGCTTTTTTTTAATGAAAGTGCTGGGGATCCAAACTCAGGTTCCCAAACTCAGGTCCTCATGTTTGCAAGGCCAGAACTGTCAACTGAGCTATCTCATCAGTCCTTCTCCTTGGCTGTCAGAAATAGCAGATGAACCCAGGCTGAGGCCAGCCTGGCAGTGTGTAGTGCCCCTGCTCTCCTTATGGGAGGGACCTGGAGCAGTGCTGGGAGTTTCATGGACACTAGGGTCTACAGGGACCCAGGTTTAGCTCAGGCCCTGCCTAGTAAGGATGAAACAGGCCTGAGAGCCAAGAGTGTAGTACCAGTAAGTCTGAGGAGGAGAGATCCCCCAAGCTCCATGGCTCTGTTTTGGGCACCGGCCTCTTCCCCTCCTCCCCTGCCCTCAACTTCATGCCTAGATTATGACAGAGTCAAGGTACCCAGCACATCTCCCTCCCCATTCATAATTCATGAAACACCAGTGCTAATCACACCTGCAGAAGTCCTGAGAAGGGATCCACATTCTGTCCACAGCTCAGAGCACGTGACACTTGAAGCATGCATAATTTATGTTGCAAAGGGAGCTGTGATCCCACCCACCCACACTCCTGCCCTTTCTGCTAAGTCTCCTTCATCCCCCAACCTGGCAAGAGCCTGGTTGCTAATGATACCAACTTAGAGGCAGCAAAACAGTTCTGAGCAGAATTCTTTTCTTTTTTGGTGTTTTTGAGATAAGGTCTCCCTGTAGTGGGAGCTGGCCTCCTGGAGCTCACTATGTAGACCAAGCTGGCCTTGAACTCACCTGCAGCTCTGCCTTCGAAGTACTGGGACTACAGGCTTGCGCCACCATGCCTGGCCTGAGCAGAATTCTTGATAGCATAACTTAAGTACCTGGAACCAGTCATACCTGTAGCAATCCCTAACTTGAAGCTTTTAGTTATATAATCAGTCATTTCTTTCTCTTTCCTTAAACCATGTAACTTACCTTTATGACACTTGAAGCTAAAATCAGGTCCTAACCTGTCCCTTTAACGACTTCTCCCTTACTTCTCTCCCAAAATTCTGGTTTGTCAGAAGCAACTGGCTCAGATTCACAGGATAAGTAAGCATCTCACAAACTTGAACTCGGCTGACTGTAAGCTCATCACTTTACAGAAGACCAGTGGGGTTTGTGAACCTTAAACACAAGCCCTAACTGTGTACTGAGTTCATTGGGCTTTTCAGTCTCACTTTCAACCTATCCAAACCCTAGCATCTCGGCCGTGCTCCCCAGTTGTAGGAGGCACCCCAGGGCAAGGGCTTGCCGATATATGTCCAGTGTCACCCTATGCCAAGATGGCTCTGAGAGGTTCTATATGCCTCTCAGAGGCCCCAGCAGGCTGAGTCTACCTGGCCAGCAGCATCCTTGTCCCCAGGCCTTTAGCTCTCCTCCCCTGTCTATCTGCCCTGGCCTTGGGGATCAGGTCCCCAATGCAGGACCTACCCAAAGCCTTGTTTTCCAGCTCTGCACAAGATACTAAGAGAGTCCTGTCCTCCCCACAATGGCCACTGGTGCTCAATCTGCCCTTATATGGGGCCATTGACCCCTAGAGCCCCCACAGTGGCCAGTCTAGCCCCTCATGTGCAGTTCAAACTCCTCTCCATCAGGAATCTGCAGGACTGGCCCCAGCCACCACTTGGACCTCACCAGAGCCTCTCCCTCATTCTGCACACCAGCCACCCATCGGTATTTTACACTTACTGATTGTTCCAGTTACAACCGGGAGAAGCCTCTTGGCCCACAACCAAAGTGATGTTTAATTCTCCTGACATCTGCCTGGGGGTGGGGGGTACTGTTACTCTCAGTTTGAACCCACAAGCTACACGATGGAAGGAGAGCTCCAACTCTCCCAAGTTGTGTTGATCTCTACACACATGCTGTGGCACACCCCCTGCCAGTAATAAAATGTCAAACAAACTCATGGTGGGTGCAGTGGCACAAGTCTTTGATCTCAGCACACAGGAGGCAGAGGCAGATGGATCTCTGAGTTCCAGACCAAGCCTGGTCTATATAGTGAGGCCAGCCAGAATTACATAATGAGACCCTGTCTCAAACAAACAAACCTCATAAATCACATAAAACCTACTCTTCAAAGCATAAGGTTCAGTGGTTTCTAGAACATTCAGGGGTATGCAACCATCACTGATGTCTAATTCTAGAACATTTCCCTCATTCTTAAAGAAATCCTGTGCCATTAGTCACTCTCCACAGCCCCAGGCCCTGCCCCACCCTGCCCATCAACACTCTGTCCTGGATTTCCGGGCTCCATGGGCATGGAGTCAGCCTTCCAGATCAGCCTCCTGTCCTAAAGATTCATTTGCAGCTTAGCGCATGCCAGTGATTCATTCCTTTTTAGGGCTGAGTCATAGTCCACTATGTATATGGGCCATACTTCTCTATACACTCAAGTTAATGAATAGTCATGATCTCTACTCCTGTTTGTACCTTTTGGGTCTTATAAGCAACAGTACTGTGAACTATGTAAAGTTTTTGTTGTTTTTCAGACAGGATCTCCTGTCTCCACCTCCCAAGTGGTTGGATTACAGGTGTGTCCCACACATCTGACTTTTTTTTTTTTAATTAAACATTTTTATTTTTATTTTATGTATGAGGGTTTTTGCCTGTATATAAGTACACCCATGCATTCAATGCCCACAGAGGCCAGACAAGGGTGCCAGATCCCCTGGAACTGGAGTTATAGGCATTATTAGCCACCACATGGGTGCTGGGAAGTGAACCTGGGTTCTTTGGAAGAGCAGCCAGTGCTCTTAACTGCTGAGCCATCTCTTTAGCTCCCTGACTTGTTTTTTTTGAGACAAGGTCTACTTTAGCCCAGGCTGGCCTGGAATTTATGGCATTCATCTGGCCTTAACTTGCTAAATCCTACGATTACAGACATGAGCCAGCCACCACACCAGATTATATAGGTTTGTGTCTGTGTGTGTATGCACATGAGTAGTGCAGGTACCCATGGAGGCCAGAAAAGGGCGTTAGATCTTCTAGAGCTGGAGTTCCAGGTGGCTGTGAGCCACCTGATGTGGGTGTTGGGAAGTGAACTTGCATCTTCCTGTTTTTTTGTTGTTGTTTTTTGTTTTGGCAGAATCTCTCTGTAGCCCCAGTTAGCCTGGAACTCCCTATGTAGACCAGGCTGGCCTTGATCTCACAGAGATCCACCTGCCAAAGGCATGAGCCACCATGCCCTGTAACTTCTTCTGGAGGAGTTGCAAGCTCTTTTAACCACCGACTAACCCCTTATACAGGTTTTTACATGGACTTGTTTTCAGTTCTAGTGGGTGTTTGTCTAGAACTGCTGGCCCCTGTGGTGATTATGGCAGTGTCTCCCATGCTAAATGTAAACTCTAGGGACAGTGACCAGGGAGAGATGATTCTCATCATTCTGTCCCCTGTGCCTACTACCCAGCCAGTAGTCACTCAGTGACTGACTGACTGAATGAATGAATGGTGCTCAGTAACCACTGCTGAGCTTCATGCCCTGAGTTGGAATGCTGGAGTCCTGGGCTCCTGGCCCAGCTCTGCCCCTCCCTATCTGTGTGTCCTCAAGCCAGCAGCTTGTTCTCTCTGTGCCTCCTACTTTGTAGTGAACAGGAGGGTAGCAAGACCATTCTGTGGCCTGGTGCGGGCCCACATACCACTCTCCCATATCCCTCAGCATCAGCTTCCTGCTCACCTCTGCCTCCTCCTCCCCGTTCTGGCTGTGGTCACCCTGAAGCCTTTCTCGAAGCTTCCCAAGTTCAGCTCGCAGGCTGCCCATCTCCTGCTCCTTGGTCTGCAGATCTGCCTCCAGCTCCACTTTCTGCTCAATCAGGGCCTTTCCCTGGGCCTCCACCACCGTGACCCGGTGCCGAAGGTCATGGTTGATCTTCATTAGCCGGGTCTGCTGCTGCTGCAGCTGGAGAGAGAGAGAGACCATCATGTGGGGCTCCCATGTACAGCAGCATAGGTTGTGCACTGCACAAGGGAAAACTCTTCAGGGGTAGCTTGGTTATCAGACACTTTCATTTGAAATTGGTATATATATATATATATATATATATTTTATTATTTTTTACTTTATTTTATGTGTAGGCATGTATTGCCTGCATGTAGGTAAGTGCACCCGTGTTATGCAATGCCAGCGGAGGACAGAAGAGGCTGTCGGATCCCCTGAAACTGGAGTTACTGACAGTTGTTAGCTGTTTTCTGGGTACTGGGATTTGAACCAGGTCTTCTGCAAGAACAGCCAGTGTTCTTAACTACTGAGACATCTCTCCAGCTCCTAAACTGGTTTATATTTTTATGACTCTGTTGACATGGAATGATACACAGATGTGGGGGTTACATGTGGAGGACCCCAGTTTCTGCTAGGAGAATAGTCTGAGATGAGGGCTGGTCACTTACAGCCTCGACATCTTCGTTCTTTAGGCCAAGCTCCCTGTCCTTGGCCCGGATCTCGTCTCGCTGCTTGTCCACCACCTCCTTCAGCCTCTTCATTACCTGCCGCTCGCGCTCTGACATGCCTATGTGAAGGTGAGACCAGGTGAGCCACCCTCCTCCTCTGCTTAAGCCTCCTGTAATATGCTGTCTCACTGTAATAGAGCCAAACTGTCTCCAGGGGTGCAGCCTCCCCTGCTTCTGCCCCTCCACCCCAGAGTACATTCCCACCTCTCACTGCCTTCCCACTCTGTTTCCTCTGCCTGAAGCTCTTCCTACTGATCTCCAAGGCTCCCTGCAAGCTCACTCCTCCCCAATGCACACAGGTCCTCCTCTTCCACACACCCTGAAAACCCCCTATGTCTCCCCTTCACCACACCTTGCATTCTGTGATCTGACTGACACAACATCACTCAGGGACCCACAGGGTGGCCTCCAAAGCTGACACTGACACTCCTGCTTATTGGCTCTATGGTTCTGAGCTAGCCTGAGCCTCACTTTCTAGCTCCATGAAAAGGGGCAACAGCTGCTCGTACCCAGGGTAGCTGTGAGGACAGACAGTGTCAACACATAGTCCATGAGGATGTGGCACCTGGTGGGCAGCCAGAGCCACCTTCCTCTAACCCACTCCAATAGACCATCGACAGAAGAGGTCAAGGTTGGTGGATCTCTGTGTAGTCAAGGCCAGCCTGGTCTACAGAGCAAGTTCCAGGTCAGCTATAGGGAGACCCCTCTCTAAAAACAAATGTACACACAAACAAAAAAATCAGAAAGCAGGGCCACTGAGATGGCTCCATGGGTAAAGGAACTTGTTGCCAAGCCTGAAAACCTGAGATTGATCCCCACGACCCACATGTCCCTCAAGTTGTCCTCTGACCTCCACAGGTATGTTGTGGCATGATTCCTCATCCCCCCTTAAATAAATAAAAATGTAAAAAAGAAAATTAGAAATCAGGGCTGGGGAGATGGCTCATGGTTAAAGTTCTTGCCTTGCTCAGATCCCTAGGAACCATGTAAATGCTGGGTGGGTGTGGCAGCTTGTCCTTAAGTCCAGCCTCAGAAGGCAGATATGGGACTGGCTGGTGGAACTAGCATTACTGGTGAGCTCTGGTTTTTTGTTTGTTGTCTGTTTTTTAATTTTATTTTATGAGTGCTTTGCTTGCATGTATGTGTCGTGCAGTGCCTGCAAAGGCCAGAAGAGGGTGTCAGAGCCCCTGGAACTGGAGTTACAGATGGCTGTTAGCCACCACGTAGGTGCTGGGAGCTGAACCTTGGTCCTCTGCAAGAGCATCCAGTGCTCTTAACCATCCAGCCATCTTTCCACCCCCAGCTCTGGTTTTTGATTGCGAGATCTTGCCTCAAAGAATAACATGGAAAAGCAATCAAGGGTGATTCCCAACACTAACCCTATCACAAATAAACAAACAAATGAATAAAAATAAATCAATTTCTTCCCTCATACTTCCAGAAGCCAGAAGTTTAAGATAGGTATGGACTGGGTGTGGTTTTGGAGACACTGGGCACACACACCAAGCCTCTTGCCCATTGTGGCTACATTGTTCTAGTCTGTCTCAGTGACACATGTCACCTCCTTTCTTGTCTGTGTCACATTCTCTGCCTCCATCTTGTGCCTACATTTACGGTCTGGTTTTCTGACATGATAGGTCACTTCACCTATGAATCTTTCCACCCAGCTCTGCATTCTTGTCTGGGATGTTCCCACACAGGGGGGTACTGCCAGGAGCCAGAATCTGCGACTGTCTGTAGACCTAGGGCCACTAGGCCAGGGGATGTGAGTCAGTACCCTTCAGAACTTGAGTCATCTACAATGACAATCCTAGAGAACACAGTTCTGCTTTCAATGTCTCTTACCCATGGCTTTCCACATAGTAGATACCCCAGCTGGCCAGGAGACCAGAGCCTCATCCTCTGCATCTGACCCTCAGTCCACCCTGGAGATGGGTTTTCTCAGCACTGCTTTAATGCCAGTCCCATTTTACAGATACAAAAAACTGAGGTGAGCTGGGCATGGTGGCTCAGGCCTTTAATCCCAGCTCTTGATAGGCAGAGGCAGGCAGATCTCTGTGGGTTCAAGGTCAGCCTGGTCTACATAGTGAGTTCCAGGCCAGCTGGGGCTACAGGGAGACCCTGTCTCAAAAAGACCAAAAAAAGAGAAAAAGAAAAACTGAGACCCAGGTCAGGTTTCTACAAGTTGCTCAAAAGGTAATATTAGTGTGGAGACTACCTGAGTGTCCCATGACATCAGGCCATCCTGCCACCAAGGTTGCCACAGTTCACTCCAGGGAAGATGCCAGTCTACACTTTCTCCAAGCAGCGCCATCTGCAGGCACTGACTGTGTATGACACACAAAATGTTACCCCATAGAACCCTGTGTGTTCGACACTGCAAGTCCCAGGTTGCAATGGACAATATGTGTAACTTGACTGCTCTTGGTGATCTGTGGATGCCAGGCAAACGTATCATTACCAGCAATGACAAATATCAGGGAGCTCAGGGGCTGAGAATGAGTGATCAGGGATCTCTACATGGATGGGGGGCAGGGAACCTTCCCCTCAAGTGAGGGTCACTTCCACCAAGAACCAAGGGCAGAGGAAGGGAGGCCAGTGATGATGATGAGAGTCTGAGTGGAAGCCCCAAAGGGGCCTCCTGTAGGTAAAGAGCAACCCAGGTTGAAGTTTGGAAAACTGATTGATGGGAAGCTTGGCCTTGATGGCCATGCCAGGTCAACGCTCCTCTCTGGGGACAAGAGTCCCTCAATCTCAATGAGTTGGGAAGGCAGAAAGCAGAAGGGCCACACCAAGAGGGCCAGGAAGGGTCAGCTGGAGGGAAGGTCTTATGGTTCTAGCACAGGGAAGAAGTGGGAGGGCCAGAAGCAGAGCGCTCAAGACTGGGAGGCCTTGGGGAGCAGCAGGGAGGCTTGTGGCAGTGGCTTCAAAAGGGCTTTACAATCTGAATCTCTGCTTGCTCATCTGTAAATTGGGTATACTGCAGCTTTCCCAGCCTCTCTCTGGCCACACTATACATAGGAAGGAGATCACTCAAGAACCAGGACCTTCTCCTCTGGGGGGTGGGGGGGGGAGGGAGGCATCACATCAACCTCTGAGGCTACTGCACCTCCTCTCTGCAACTGCTGCTGGGTCTCACTCCAATAGGAGGCAGGTACCTGCAGAGAAGTCACCTGGTGGGGAAGTGATATAGAGATGGAGTTAGGCATCTCCCTACAGAATGGTTACTATGCAACAGATAGAGAGGGCCAAGAGCCTATGGGAAGCAGATGCTGGCCTCTTACCAGGGCTGCCAGGGTCTGTGGAACTTGGGGAATATACTCACGTGTGGCATAAAGCCACTTCAGTCAACAATGGGTGACTAGTGACATCACAGGGGTCTTAGTTCGTGAAATACATGCTGTGATCTTTGCGCACCAACAAAATGGTCAACTGTCTCCCAGAACGAATCCCAATCCTTCCACACGGCTGAATCTACTATGATCAACATGCACTCTCTGCACCAGCAATTGCACCCTGTGGTAAGCACTCCTGGGTAAGACCCTGCAGTGCCATATGACCATCAGAAAGACCCAGACATATTAGTGACAAAGGTAAGAGACAATCTTATATGTACAATGTTCACAGAAGCTTTGTTCTCAATGGCTCCCAGCCAGAAAGAATTGAAGTGGCCATCAGCAGCAGAATGAATAAACAGTGGTATTCACACCCATGGAAACATTATACAGCAACAGAAAAGAATAAACCAGAGTTCTATGCAACAAGAGTTCCAGCTTAAAGGTCTCAAAACCGGGAGTGGTGATTATCTCAGCACTTGACAAGTGGAGACAGAAAAGGTCAGACGTTCAGAGTCAGGGGCTAGAGATGCCTTAGTAGTTAATACCATTTACTGCTCTTGCAGTGGACCAGAGTTCAGTTTCCAGCAACCACAACAGGCAGTTTACAACCACTTGTAACTCCAGCTTCAGGGGATCTGACATTATTCTCCGAGTGCACCTGCACACATGTGTGCACACACACACACATAAATAAAAATAAACCTTTAAAACAAAAAGAGGTTTGGTTGGGCATGGTGGCACACGCTTTCAATCCCAGTTCTTGGGAGGCAGAGACAGGAGGCCTGGTTTATATAATGAGTTCCAGGCCATCTGGGGCTACAGGGATACCCTGTCTCAAAAAAAAAAGCCAAAAACCAACAAAGAAAAAGAAGGAAGTTCAAGGTCACCCTCAGCCACATCTAGTTCTAGTCTGGGTTCAGTCTGAGGTACAGAAGACCCAGTCTCAAAGAAAAAAACAACAAAAATCAAAAGCAAAGAAAATGGTAAGTGTGGTCAATTCCTGGTGACTAAGCCATGCCTCAGAGCCCCAGGGCCCTCGTCAGACCTTGAGAGTGCCTCTGCACCCCTTCTGTAAAACCAATGGCTGGGCACCTGTCATTCCCCGCCCTGTGATTTCATGGCTACTTAATTTGTTGTACTTCTCAGAGCACCCCTGTTCCCCCAACTCCCCTCTCCAGAAATCAGATGGCTGTATCCCAAAGCCTCAGATCACCCTTGGCCACTGTCCTGCATCATGTCACACCTGACGAAGTCTCCAGGTCACCAGCGCCACCCTCTTTGTTGGCCCTATGTCTGTTCCTCTAGTAGGTGTAGGAATGCTTGGTAGGTCCCTGTTGTGTTCCTATGGTTCCGGTGTAAAATAAAAATAATCAGGAAGGCAACCTGGCAGTGGTGGCCTTGATTGGGTAGGGGCTGCAGGCATGAAGAACGTGGCTCCCCAGCTGGCCCCACAGGAGCTGGCCTCACACTCAATGCTGCTAAGTGCATCTCATGTGCTCATGTGTGGGCTGACCCACAGTAGCCCACAGAGATCTGCAAAGTGGCAGAGGCAGAGCCACACCTGCTGTGAGCACACTTGTGCCAGGAAGCATTTCTGAGCTGGGCTTTGGGGCCTGGAGCCTTGAGGCCTCTGAGGCTGCACTGGGGCAGGCAGTCAGGATCCCACGTTACCTCCAGAGGCCTCTGGGTGCCCTACAAGAATGTCACAGACAAAAACAAGATGGCTAGTTCCCTGATGAAGCTTGGCTTAGCTCCTACATGACTCCAAGTTCCATTCCTAGATGTGGAACCTACAAACTCCTAAAAGATGTTCACTGCACCCTAAAGGTGGACAAAATCTGAAACCCCATCTGTGGATAAACGACAGATATGGTTCATTTGTGCAATCGAAGATGACACGGCTATGAAAAGGAATGGAGAAAGCACTGACATCCAATAAAACACGGATAGAGCTTGGAAACACTATGTTGGAGCCAGGCGCAAGAGACACAGGTTATGGGACATGATCTGTGGAACATCTGAACTAGGGGAATCCACAGAGGGAGAAGACAGATTGGTGGGGGCATATGGCTGAAGAGGAATGGGGTGGGACCCGACAGTCAGAACTGAAGGGAAGGGGCTGCTGCATTCTCTCTCTTTTCAAAATTTATTTTATCATTATTACTATTGTGTTGTATGATGTGGGTATGCATGTGCAACAGTCTGAGGACAACAGACTTTGTAAAGTTGGCTCTCACCTTCTGGGGATTGAACTCAGGTTGCCCAGCTTATGAGGCAAGCACATTTATCTGCTGGGCCATCTTGCCAGCCCTCATTCTCTCTCAACACAGGGTCTTATTATGTAGCCCTGGCTGGACTAGAACTCGCTATGTATAGTTCAGACCGGCCTTGAATTTGTGGCTTTGTGGTAGTCTCCCTGTGTGCTGGGATTGCAGGTGTGCCTGGCTTGTTAGTGACTTATCCACCTGCCATACTCTCTTAATGTTTTTCTCACCCAGTACCTTCGTGGAGGGACACAATGTATCCTGTGCCTCACTCTCCCAATCCTGTTCTTTTTGGTCTTGCAGAAGGGAGACTGAAGTCCTCCATGGCTCCCTGCCTCCTTCATGCCACAGTGCAGAAGGGTAGACACAGGGCAGATATTCTATCAGCAGTAAACAAGCCACTGAATGATCACTGCAGCAGCTTGTGTCTGGAAGCCCTAAGCATCCAGGCACCAGAACACCAGGTGGCCCAAATCATGGGGGTTCCTGTCCCCTTGCCAGCCTGAGTCACAGGGTTCCATCAGGCCCCTATCTAGGACTTCCTCAGAGCTTTAAGTTCTCTTCAAGAAGCTTCATTCCAGTGGGTCTCAGTTCTGATCCCGACTGCCACCAACTTGTGTGACTTTGGATAAATCACTCCCCCCTCTCAGTCTTCATGTTTCTCATTTGTTCAGTAAGAAGGTTGAACTAGACACTCAGAGCTCATGGTGATAAGAGCCAACACAAGCCCAGGGTTGTGCTAGGCACAATTCTAAGCACTCTACCTGAATCAACTCATTTAATCTTTGAAACACACTTGTGAGGGAGTACCCTGATAGCTCCCATTCTCACCACACAGGGAAATTAGCACACAAAGGTCTGATGTGGTCAACCCATGGGCAGGTGAGTGCAGGGGCCAAGAGACTAAGCTGGGTGATCTGGCACCAGACATGATGTTGCTTACTGCTACCACTTTGTTTCTAATCCACCAATCCTGCCTCAACAAGGAATTCCAAGGGAAAGAGAATTCCACTCTTGGAGTCAACTGTGTTTCTGTTGTTTCCACAGGTCTTATCAGCCCCAGAATTTGTGGTTTTGTTTCTTTTCAATTTTAGTGCATTTATTCATCTCTCTCTCTCTCTCTCTCTCTCTCTCTCTCTCTCTCTGTGTGTATCTGCATGTGTATACATGTGTCCCTTTTTTCAAAATAGGACAAAATTTAGCTATGTTGTTTATAGCTATGTTGTAAACTTCAGTGCTGAAGAAAATGTTTGAAATAATAATTATGGGCTAGAGAGATGGTTCAGTATGTAAAAGCAATTGCTGTGCAAAACTGAAGATCTGAGTTCAAATTTCCAGCACCTAAGTAGAAGCCGTGTATTGTCATATACACTTGCAACCCCCGGGTTGGGAAGCAGAGGCAGGTGGATCTTCAGAGCTCACTGACTGGCCAGACTAAACAAAATGTCCAGTTTCAGGTTCAGTCAGAGAATGATAGAGCTGGACACTTATTGGGAATCAATTATGAATAAAGTAATAGATACATGTGACATGTAGGTGAAACCATAGACAAATATCATTATCAGAAAACACTAGAAAAAGGAGTAGCTATCTTGCAGAAAGAAGCACCTCAAATACTACAACTCTCACTGCAGAAGATTCTGAACTCAATCGGCTCAAAACAGGGAATAACATCAATGTCCATTAGTGCATTTATTCATCTCTCTCTCTCTCTCTCTCTCTCTCTCTCTCTCTGTATGTGTGTGTGTGTGTGTGTGTAAGTATGCAAACTTGTGAGGAAATCAGAGGACAACTTGAAAAGTCAATTCTCTCCTTCTACCATGCTTAATTCAGGTCTTCAAGCTTGGTGGCAAATGCTTTCATCTACTGAATCATCTCACTGGCCCTTGTTTGTTTGAGACAGGGTCTCACTATGGAGCCCTGTGTCCTAGAACTCACTATGTAGACTAGGCTAGCCTTGAATTCACAGAAATCCATCTGCCTCTGCCTCCTGAGTGCTGGAATTAAAAGTTTGCACCACCATGTTTAATGTAGATAACTGCTTATGGGTCTAATGGCACTTAATGGTCTCTAGTGCTGATCAGATCTGAGCTGTTGTCCCCACTTGCCCACTGGTCATGCTGTGTCTGGGACAGCAGGACACAGAGGAAAATTCAAATGTTGACCTCTAAGGTGCCTGGTGGTATGACTCTCACTGACTCCTCTGGCTTCACCTCCAACAAACCTCCACTTGAATCTCTCAAATTTTCATGCCCCAGGGCCTTGGGACATGGCACCTGCCCAAGACATTGGTGTGGCTCACTATACCAATTCATCAGAAGTATACTGTGACCACCTTGATAACTGAACCTAACCCCAGGTTGCAACCCTATGTCCCCATCTTAGCTCTCCTGTAGTCGCTGGCCATCTGGAACTAGGACATCTTTATTTGGTCACATATTTACTGCCTGTCTCCTCTGTGTTAGCTTCAGGAGGCCAGGGTCTGGCTTGTCCACTGGGTCCTGGGCCTACAGAGGAGCCAGGTATGAGGACTGAAATTGGTAACAGCTGACTGGGCCCTGTCACCATCTGCAAACTGAGCCTAAGCTAATTCTCTCTGTGGGAGCTAGGGTGGGACTCCACATACCCACAGGGGCAAAAGACTAGGGAATTGAGGCCTCCAGCCACCAGAATGCTGGGATGACTGATGGGCTGAACAAACCTACCTCCCGCCCCGCCTTACCTTCCTGCTTCTGGAACCCGTCCTCCGAGAAGCCCACGTCCTTGTGGTTGAGGTTGGTCATGAGCTGCTTGTTCTCCTCCTGAAGCTGGGCAATCTGGGACAGGAGGTCTTGTGCCTCACCCCGCCATACATCCTCCACCAGCTCCAGCTCCTGTGGGGGGACAGCAAGGGGCATGGCAAAGTCAGAGCCATCCAGTGTCTCCCAGGCCTGCCAAGTGAGAGCTGCTCAGTCTGTGGGGCTTTTAGTCATGAGAGGCAGGGGGAGGTGCTGGACAAGGCAGCCAGGGGCCCTCAGGGTACTTGTGCAAGATGCTGGGAATCCTCCACTAAAGCCAGGAAGACCTCTCAAAACCACCAGCAACAGAGCAAAGCTACACTGCTCCCTCCAGCTGTCTGGATAACCCATGGGGTCCCTGACATTCCTGAACATCTCTTCAAAAGGGACTAAGGGGGACCCTGTCTCAAAAAGACGAGGAAAAAAAAAAAAAAAGTAAGAGCAAGGGTTGACCACCCTTACCATGACTGGTGGCAATGTTCCCCAGAATAGTATGGAGGCTAACAGAGTGATCCAGGATACAGTGATTCCACCCTCATCTGCCCAAGAGAAGTGAAGACATGATTCCAGGATGGGCGTGGTTAAATAAGCCTGTGACCCCAGAATTCAGGAGGCTGAGGCAAGAAAATTCCAAGCTGGAAGTCAACCTGGGCTATAGGCCTTAAAAGTAAATAAAGTTGGGTATGGTGACGCATGTCTTTAATCCCAGCACCTGGGAGCCAGAGACAGGTAGATCTTTGTGAGGTTGAGGCCAGCCTGTTTATATAGTGAGTTCCAGGCCAGTTGGGGCTTCAGGGAGACCCTGTCTCAAAAAAAATTTTTTTTAAAAAGAGCTGGGTATAGTGGCTCCTGCCTTTAGTCCTCAGACTCCTGGAAGTAGAGGCAGGTAGATCTCTGTAAGATTGAGGCCAGCCAGCCTGGTCTAAACAGACCAGGTCAGCTGGGGCTACAGAGGAGACCCTGTTTCAAAAGGATTAAAAAAAAAAAAAAAGTTGGGGGAAGGGTGGATGGAAAGCTGGAGAGCTGGAGAGCTGACTCAGTGGTTAACAGCACTGGATACTCCTGTAGAGGACCTGGGTTCAGTTCCCAACATCCACATGGGAGCTAACAACAAACAGTCCTTAACACCAGTTCCAGGGAATCCAACACCCTCTTCTGGCCTCTGCAGGCATTGCATACACAGGTCCACGTACATGCAGGCAAAACACTCACACACATAAACAATACATATATTTTTTGAGGGGGGGGGTCTTTTTGAGACAGGGTCTCCTTGTAGCCCCAGCTGGCCTTGAACTCACAGAGATCCGCCTGCGTGTGCCTCCCAAGTGCTGGGATTAAAGGCGTGCGCCACCACGCCCAGCCAATAAACAATATTTTTAAAAAGTGGCCGGGGTGTTGTCTATTTAATTCTGAACATGAGAACATCCACCAAGAGGTATGTACTAGGTCAGAAAGCACCAATGCTGTTGCCTGTATAAAATCAAAGCTGAAGGCCTACAGTCTGTAGCCTGTCAGGCCATTTGCTTATTTTGAAGCATGGGGGATGGAACCAAGGCCTGGTACACATTAGAGAAGTACTTACTACCTAGGCATACTCCCAACCCCTCACTGATGGATTCTGGGCCAGTATTCTACCCCTGAACCATACCTCCAGCCCCTCACTGGGGGATTCTAGACAGGGGCTCTACCTCTGAAGCACACCCCCAGTCCCTCACTGGGGGATTCTAGGCAGGAGTTCTTCCACTGAGCTACACCCCCAGACTCTCACTGGGGGATTCTAGGCAGGGGCTCTACCATTGAGCCATGTGCCCAGCCTCTCACTGGAGGAATTCTAGACAGGAGCTCTACCACTGAACTACATTTCCAGCCCTCTTTTCAGACAAGGTCTCACTAAGTTGTCCAGGCAGGTCTTCAACTTTTGATTCTTCTGCCTCAGACTCCCCAGGAGCTGGGATTACAGGCATGTACAGGCTTGGATATATCAACCGAAGCTTAAAATCTATTTCAGCTACAAGTAGCTGAACTTGGGAAGGGTATTCGTTCCTCGGTACCCCAGAAATGGGTACCTCATCTTCCTTTGAGGGTTGTTTGGAAGATGAGGCTGTCACTGAACAGGAAATGCTTGAACCAGTCCTGGGCACCCAGAAGGCAGAGAGCCCAGTGACAATGTGCCTGACCTCCATTCTTCCTATAGCCCTCCATAGGCCAGCCAGGTGGCTGGACATCCAGTGTCATCCCGCACTCATCTCCTAAAGAAGTACCCACAGCCCACTTGCACTGTCAGAAAACTGTTACCCTCTGGAAATGAGAGGCCATGACTAAATATATCTATAGTTGGGGCTGGAGAGATGGCTTAGTGGTTAAGAGCACTGACTGCTCTTGCAGAGGACCTGGGTTCGATTCCCAGCACTCACATGACAGCTAACAACTGTCCTAACTCCAGTTCCAGGGGATCTGAATGCCCTCCTCTACCTCCACAGGCCTTTCATGACACAGGTGCACTTATGTACATGCAGACAATGCACTCATATACATTAAAAAAAATAAAGTATTTTAAAAATATATGTATCAGTCAGGCATGGTGGGGCACACCTTTAATCCCAGCACTTTTGAGGCAGAGGCAGGCGGATCCCCTAGAGTGTCCCAAATCAGTGGAAGTTTTCTGATACTTTGATTTTATTTTTTATTATAGTTTTGGTGTACAGGATGGAGCCCAAGGCTTTGTACATACCAAGCATGAGCTATACAGAGATCTACCTGCCTCTGCCTCCAAAATACTGGGATTAAAGATGTGTGCTACCATGCCCAGGACTTTTTTTTTTCTTTTCTTAATGAGCTCTAGTTGATGGTAGGGAGTCAGTCCATGAAGAATTGAATCTTTTTCTTGTTTGTTTTATTTTTTCATTTTCTGAGATAGGATCTCACTCTGTAGCTGAAGCTGACCTCAAACTCAAGGCTATCCTCCTGTCTCAGCCTTCGGGTGCTGGGATTACAGGCATGAGCCACGGTGCCTGGTGAGCACTATATCCTCCCTCACAAAGCCGAAAAGTTTTCTTGTGACTTGAGTGCTGAACTCCTCTGAACACGTCTCATTCCTTCCCCAGCCTCCTCAGTCAGCACTGCCTCAGCCTCCTCTCCCACTCCTCTTTTCTTCACTCTGTCCAGCCACACATGCCCTCTTCCTGTTCTATGAACTCCCTAAGTGCATCTACCTTATCACACTAGAAACGTGGTGAAGGTGAGTTACAAGAATGGGGGGCCAGTGAGATGAGCCTGACAACCTGACCTGTTAGAACCCACATGGTAGAAGGAGAAAACTGACTTCTAGGAGCTGTCCTCTGATTTCCACATACAGGCCGTAGCACGTAAACACTCATACACATACACACAAAAATACACGAATAAATAAATGTAATTTTTTTTTAAAGAAGTCCATTCCTGGCTTTTTTTTTTTTGGTTTGATTTTTGAGATAGGGTTTCCCTGTAGCCCCAGGAGGCCTGGTACTCGCTGTAGACCAGGCTGGCCTTGATCTCACTAAGATCTCCCTGCCTCTGCCTCCCACGTGCTGGGATTAAAGGCGTGCACCACCATGCCTGGACTATTATTTTTATTTTATGTGTATTCGAGTATTGCCTGCATGTAAGTAAGTGCATCCGTGTAGTGCAATGCCAGAGGAGGACAGAAGAGGCTGTCAGATCCCCTGGAACTGGAGTTACGGACAGTTGTTAGCTGCCATGTGGGTGCTGGGATTCAAACCCAGGTCTTCTGCAAGAACATTAAGTGTTCTTAACCACTGAGCCATCTCTCCAGCCCCATAAATGTAATATTTTTAATACAAAAAAAGAAAAAAAAAAGAACGCAGACTGGGGATGTGCCTAGCTGCATGAAGTCCTAGGGTTGTTCCCCAGCACTGCATAAACTGGGCCTAATGGCCCACACTTGTAATCCCAACACCAAGGAGGTAGAGGCAGGAGAATCAGAAGTTCAGGGTCATCCTCTATAGTAAGTTTGATGCCAACCTGGGATACATGACACCCTGTTTCAAAAAGAATAAATAAAAATAAATAATAAAAATTGTACACAGTCTTGATAGGACATGCTTTTAATCCCAGCAGTCAGGAGGCAGAGGTAGGTGGATCTCTGTTTTAGGACAGCCTGGTCTACACAGCGAATTCCAGCCAAGAATATAGGGAGACCCAATCTCAAAAAGACCAAAAAAAAAAAATTTTTTTTAAGTTAATAAATAGTAAATAAGGGCTAAAGAGATGGCTCAGGGGTTAAGAACACTGGCTACTCTTCCAGAAGACCGGGGTTTGGTTCCCAGCACCCATATAGCAGCTAACAATTGTCTGTAACTCTAGCTTGAGGGGATCTGATACCCTTTTCCTGCTTCTACGAGCATTTCCTGCCTCTACGAGCATTGCACACATGGGTACAGTTACATACATGCAGACAAAATACTTATACACATAAAATAAAAATAAATAAATAAGGGGCTAGAGATGGTTCAGCAGTTAAGAGCACTGCCTGCTTTTGCAGAGGACCTAGGTTCAATTCTCAGAACCCACATGGCAGCTAACAACTGTCTGTAACTCCAGTTCCAGGGGAATCCTCCACAGGCACTGCACAACATGGCACTTACCACATGCAGGCAATACACTCATACAAATAAAATAAAAATAATAAAATAGGTGGGCATAGTGGGGCACGCCTTTAATCCCAGCACTTGGGAGGCAGAGGCAGGCAGACCTCTGAGTTTGAGGCCAGCCTGGTCTACATAGTGAGTTCCAGGTTAGCTGGGGCTACAGGGAGACCGTGTCTCAAAAAATATTGGTCTGGAGAAATTGCTCAGCGGTTAAGAGCACTGACTGCTCTTGCAGAGGACCCATGTTTGGTTTCCAGCACCCAGATGACAGCTAACAACCATTCCTAACTCCAGTTCCAGGGCAGAAAAATCGCCTAGCATATAGGAAACCTTGAATTTGCTTCCACTTCAAAAAGACAAAAATAAATAAATAAAAATAAATAAATAAATAAATAATAAAGTATTCAATAACTTTTACACTGGGGCTTGGTGGTAGAGCTCAGTGGTAGAACACTTGCCTAGCAGTGTGAGACCCCGGATTTGATCTCTAGCAACACAAGGAAACAAAAAATAATTTTTATGTTGAATCTGTTAGAATGAAAATATTCTGGATATACTAGTATCTATTCCACGAAATAATTTTTTTTTTTGTCTTTTTGAGACAGGGTCTCCATGCAGCCCCAGCTGGCCTGAAAGTCAATATGTAGACCAGACTAGGCTTGAACTCACAGATTCATCTGTCTCTGCTTCCCAAGTGCTAGGATTAAAGGTGTGCACCACCACACCCAGCTCCAGGAATTAAAATTAACTACTTCAAGTATCACAGCAAGTTACATTCTGTTGCTATTGAATGGTGCTGCACTAAAAATGCAGGCCCACAAGAGCCAAGCCCTCATCTCTCCCTTCAGTGCCCAGAACAGTGCCTGGGACATGGGAGTTGCTCATAAAGTCCATTTGGGGCTTGGTGGTGTGAGTGGTTATGGGCTTGCTTAGCAAGCAGGAGACCCTGGGTTGAATTGCCAGCTCTGAAAACACACACACACACACACACACACACACTCACTGAGTGAGCAACACAGGCTGTGTTGTCTATAGGTGCACACATACAGTCACTGCTCTCTGCATTTCCCCATCTTCTCTTACCCACCTGCTGCCTGACTTGAGCTTCCGCCTTTTCTTCCCCTGCTCTGTATCATCCACCATACCCAGGAGGGCACTTTGCACACCATGGTCTGTCCATAGGATTTCGAACTGAGTAATGAGACAGACACCATAGGTCTATGACCTGGGACTGATGAGCTGCATCCAGTGAGTCTAGCTGTGGGAGGACAGGGCACAGTCTTCACTGAAGCCATGTTTACAGAGAGACCAAGGGAAAGAGGGGAGAAAGGCAAGACAGATCAAGGCATGCTAAGATTCTTGTGGAAAAAAAAATAGCTCACAGAACCTCCATAGCTACAGAAGAAAATTCAGATGAACCTGTTCTAACCCCAAGCAAACCACACAAAGGGGCCTGGGATGGGGAGGGAGGAACTCAGACCTAGCTGTTTACAAACAGCCCTGGCCTGCCTGGAGGAAGGGGCACAGAGGGTACTGACTAGCTGGCTGCAGCTGCTGGCATTCCAGAAGGGACAAGTCAAGCTGAGAATTCCACCTGACTTCAGTGACTTGAGATAGCACTGCTGCACAGCCTGGTCCAGCCCAGCCCAGCCCAGCCCAGCTGTAGAACTAAAGGGTCAGGTAGTGACAGAAGAGTTACCAGGACTTTTGGGGTACCTGGTCTAAGCCCCTCCATCCTAGCACGGGAGGATCATACCTCTGCCCCCAGGAGAGGTGGAACACCTAGAGAAGAGTAGAATGCCTGGAGGGGGCCCCAATAATCCTTGGAAGCACCTAAGTGTGTCTCCCCAGACTTAACATTACAAGCCTTGGGGCATAGGCTCTGGTGACAAGCACCTTTAGTCATTGAGCCATCTTGCTGGCTCCAGGCTTGACTTGTGCACTTTATGTCCACTAACACCCCCACCCCATCCTCATCGCTGTTCCCCAGGGTGGGAACTGAGGACACAGGCACACAGAAGACAGGTAATCTGCCCCAAAGTGCACTGCCTACCAACTGTGAGGTCTGAAACCCAGATGTCTGGCTCCAATGTCCCCAATCCTAAGGCTGGAAATTAATTATAGGAAAGAGGGAGGCACCTTCCGGTTCCCAGCATGACCTTGGAAGTGCTGCTGAACTCTAAAGAGCTTGAATTTCCTTCCTGACCCCAGGACACAGGACTAGAGGGACAAACACAGCCAACCCTGGCCACACTGCTCTTGCACACAGCCAGGTCTGTCCTCAAGGTAAAGACGAAGACCTAGCTTTGGCCACTGTCTGAAAACTCACGATCCATCTACACAGTACACAATAGAGGATGGCCAGCCAGTGAAGTTCAGAGAGGCCAGCTGGACTTTCTGAGGCCACACAGCAAGCCAGAACAGGTTCCAGGATCCAGGGGAAAGGAGTTTCCTCTGGTTCAGTCAGAAGGGTCTGCCAGAAGCTGCCCCAGCTGAGGTTTGGGCAGGAAACCACAAGTCTCCCACTTCCTTTCCCCAGGCACCTAGTCTGGTTTGGTCTGATCTCTAGGCTCAGACAAACACTGCTCCTGAGGCAGAGGCTGGGCCTGAAAGCCGCTCTTTGGCATCCAGTCCTCCAATAAAAGCAGGAAGGAGTGGGAGACACTGGATCTATCTCCTCCTGGACAAGTATCAGTAACGTGAGGCAAATCCCTCTCTCCACTCTTTGACCCTCTGTTCTCTCATCTGTAAAATGGAGATAATTCTTACCTCATAATCTATGAGGCTTGAAGATAAGATCAAGGCAGGGAAAGCACCCCAGAATGCAGGTGAATAAACTGGGGGAACCCTGGAAACAAAGTTACAACTATGTCCCAAGACAGGGGGTTCACAGCTGGAGCTCACTCTGACAGCTCTGCAGGATGAAAAGATGCCTGATCTACCGGTGTCACACCTTGGTCACAATGAACGGTCGGGTTGGTAGGTGGCTGGAAATTGATCTCCTTTCTGGAATAGAATAATATCTAAGTACTGTATCTATAGCATCCCACTTAATATATGCAAGCCAAGTCCTACTGTGATCACCATTTGACAGACCAGGAAACAAAGCACAGAGAGGTTCAGTAACTTACCCAAGGTCACATACTCAGCTAGTACATGCCCTCTGCTCCAGGATGGGCAAAGAGGACCAGAGGCCTCCCTCCCTCACCCAGCACATCCTCTGCTACTCTAGTCCCTGTGTACACGGGCATCCACATGGAGAGCTGCCCAGAGTAGAAGGGCCCAGGGTTCCAGCGCCCCTTGGCCAGATGGGCAGACTAAGGCCTCCGCCCACCTTCTGGTGCTTGCGTTCCTTCTCGATGCGGTCCATTCTCTCCACGCGGAGCCGGTCCAGCTCCAGACGCAGTTCGTCCAGCTCGGGAGCTACATGGTGCCGGCTGACCAGCACTTCCAGGATCTCCAGGACCCTCACGACCTTGGGCATGAGGCGAGCAATGGCCTCGCAGCCATGCTGGTCGATGACTCTCTCGAACTCGTGGCCCACGAGCGACGCGATGTCGTACACGTCCATGACGGTCAGTTCCGCCACGTTCTTTTCCAGCGCCGACACGGCGGCGGGCGCCGACCCCCGCTCCTCCTCCATGGCCCGCGCGGGCCTAGCGCTGTCCGCGAACTTGTGCAACTCGTGAACTTGGAGAGGCGCGGCCGGGGGCGAACGGGGGAGCGCCGGGGGCGCACGCGGGCGCGCGGCCGCAGATCTCGGCCCGAGCGGCTCGGCAGAGCGAAGGAGCCCCGGGAGCACAACAGGGAGGACGCTGAGGGGGCGGCGCGCGTGCGCAGGCCGGCGGCACCTCCCGAGTTGGGGACCGACTTTGCACGCTGCCTCCGCGGGGTCCCGGGATAGGAAGCTGGTGTCGCCGGGCGCCAGGGAGAAGCGCAGCCCCGCGACTCCTCGGCGGCCGAGATAAACTTTGGCGACGCGGGTGACTCGAGGGCCCGGCTGCTATCCCGGGACCGGGAGCAGAGCTTGCGCAAGGCGCGACGCGCGTGTCCGCCCCGAGACGGCGGGTCTCGGTGCGCAGCCCCGCGGGTCGCTATGCTCCGCCCGGCCCCGGTCCCGCCTCCGCAGCTCCGGCTCCCCGCGACCCCCGCCCGGCTCCACCTCCTCTCCGTCCGGCTCCGCCTCCTGCCGCCGGGGCAGCGGACGCCACGGAGCGGCCATTCGCTGCTGCGGGCAGGGGCGGCGTCTGCGCGCAGAGGAGAGGGGTCGGGAGGTGATCTGCTCCTCCAGGGGGACCCCCCGCACCCTGACAGGCCCAACCTCCCGGATGCTCCGCGCTCCATCCTGACCCGGGGCGCCCAACTCTGCGACCCCAGAGGCCGGGGGACAGCAGCCCACAGGACCGGGGGTCCTGGTTCCCCAAAGCCACCGGCTGCCCCCTGGATCCGGCTCATCTTGGGGGACCCGGCACCCAGCCAGGCCCAACCTCCCGGATGCTCGGCGCTCTAACCCGGCCCCGGGGCGTCCCGCCCTGAGGCCCCCAGAGGCCAGGAGACGGGAGCCCACAGGACAGATGGTTCTGCAGGAGTCCCCAAAGCTACCCGCTGCCCCTGCGCAGCAACCACCCTGAGCTGATTTTTGTGATAAAACCTCTCTTTGCAGTGGAAGACAAGCCGGGGCTGTAGAGCCTTCCTGAACACTCACCCAGGGCTACTCTTCTGTCTCCATGGCATGAAGGCTGAACCCCCAGCGTTCCCACCATCCCTTCCCAGGTGGGAACTGCCCTCTGCATTCTGAGTGTTTGCTCTGCTTGCGGAGATACCTCTCTCATCTGACTGAGAGGTTCTTGGTCCTCGGATACAGAAGTCTTGTTTATGATTTAATGTAATTTTAACATTTTTACTATTTTAAATTAGGTGTCTATGTGGGCTTGTGCACTTGAGTGCAGGTATCTGCCGAAGCCATAGGCATGGATGTTGGGAAGTGAACGCCAATCCTCTGGAAGAGCTCTTCACCACTAAGGCATCTGGTTAGCGTCCTAATTTTTTTTAAGTTTATTTTTATTATTTTCAATTATATGTGTATATGCACATAAATGCAGTGTCTATTCAGGCCAGAGGTGTGGGATCCCCCTGGAACTGGAGTAAAAGGCAGTTATGAACACCAGAAGCATGTGCTGCGAACTGAGCTCTGATCCCCTGCAAAAGCAGTACCTGTCTTAACTGCTGAGCCTCTCTCCAGCCCCTTAATTTTATTTAGTTTTTTTTTTGAGACAGGATCTCCTGTATTCCAAGCTGGCCTCAGACTTGCTATGCAGTCCTTGGAAGATGACCTTGAACTTCTGATTTTCCTGACTCCAACTCCAGAGTGATGGGATGACAGGTATGCCCTACCAAATTAAGTTTATAAGGTCCTGGGGATGGAATCCAGAGCTTTCTGCAAGATAAGCACTCTACCAATTGAGTTGTGTTTTTGTTGTTATTACTGTATCACCAGCCCCTAATATTTTTTTATTAATTCATTTATGTGTGTGTATGTGTGCATAGATGTGGGCACCTGTATGCCATGGTGCATGTGGAGGTCAGAGGACAACTTACAGGAGTCAGTCCTTTCCTTCCACCATGTGAGTCCCAGAGAGCCAACTGAGGACATCAGGCTTTTACCTGCCAAAGTATCTCACGGGCCCCTAATTTTCATTTTATGTGTCTTGCCTGCACGTGTGTAACTGAACCCATGTCTTGCAATGCCCGCTGAAGTCAGAAGAAGCCGTCAGATTCCCCTGGAACTGGAGTTACAGATGGTTTTTAGCTGCCTTGTGGGTGCTGGGAATCTAACCTGGGTTCTCTGCAAGAACAGCCTATGCTCTTAACCACTGAGCCATCTCTTCAGCCCCCTAATTTTCTTCTTCTTTTTTTTTTTTCTTTTGGTCTTTTTGAGACAGGGTCTCCCTGTAGCCTCAGCTGGCCTGGAACTCACTATGTAGACCAGGCTGGCCTTGAACTCACAGAGATCTGCCTGTCTCTGCCTCCTGAGTGCTGGGATTAAAGGCGTGCACCACCATGCCCGGCTTTTTTTGTTTTTAAAAAATTGGTTTTGGGGCTGGAGAGATGGCTCTGAGGTTAAGAACACTGGTTTTTCTTGCAGAAGACCCGGGTTCGAATCCCAACACCCACATGGTAGCTAACAATTGTCCATAACTCCAGTTCCAGGGGATCCAACAGTCTCTTCTGTCCTCCATGGGCATTGCATGACACAGGTGCACTTAACTACATGCAGGCAATACACGCATACACATAAAAATAAAAATAATACAGAGGCAGGGGGATCTCTGTGAGTTCAAGGCCAGCCTGGTCTCCATAGTGAGTTCTAGGACAGCTGGAGCTACAGGGTTTGAGACAGGGTCTCCCTGTAGCCCCAGCTGTCCTGGATTCACTATGGAGATCAGGCTGGCCTCAAACTCACAGAGATCCGCTTGCCTCTGCCTCCTGGGTGCTGGGATTAAAGGCGTGCGCCACCACACCTGGCCATAAATAAGATATTTTTTTTAAAAAATGGGTGCCATTTTTTTTTGTTGTTGTTTTTGTTTTGTTTTTCCCTGGGGCCCCAGCTGGCCTGGAACTTGCTATATAGACCAGATCTCACAGAGATTCACCTACCTCTGCCTCCCAAGTGCTAGGAGTATTTATTTATTCTATGTGTATGAGTGTTTTGCTTGTGTGTATGTAAGTGCACCCATGTTGCACAATCCCCAAAGAGGCTAGAAGAGGGTATTGGATCCCTTGGAACTGGAGTTACAGATGGCTAGGAACTGAATCTGGGTCCTCTACAGGAGCAGCCAGTGGTCTTAACCACCGAACCATCTCTCCAGTCCTTTGTTTTGTTTTAAAATTTTATTACATTGGCTGGGCATGGTGGCGCACACCTTTAATCCCAGCACTCAGGAGGCAGAGGCAGGCGGATCTCTGTGAGTTCAAGGCCAGCCTGGTCTCAATAGTGAGTTCCAGGACAGCTGGAACTACAGGGAGACCCTGCCTCAAAAAGACCAAAAAATTTTTTTATTACATTAAATTATTTGGGGAGGGGCTGGAGAGATGGCTCAGCAGTTAAGAGCACTGACTGCTCTTGCAGAGGACTCCGGTTCAATCCCCAGCACCCAGCGGCTCTGAACTGTCCTTAACTCCAGTTCCAGGGGAATCTGAAGCCCTCTTCTGACCTCTGAAGCATTGCAGGACACGGGTGCACTCACATGCAGGTAATACACTCATACACATAATAAAAATATTTGTAAAAATATTTATTTGGGGAAAGAGCATCCATGCCATGCATGGTGTGCATGTAGAGGTCAGAGGACACATGCATGAGTCAATTCTCTCCTTCCACCATGTGTGTCTCAGAGATCAAACTCTGATTGTCAGGCTTGGTAGCAAGCACTTTCACCTGCTGAGCCATCTTGGTTACCCTTGCTTCTTTTTTGTTGCTGTTTTAAAAGTGTGTGTGTGTGTGTGTGTGTGTGTGTGTGTGTGTGTGTGTGTGTGTGTGTGTACATACACCATAAAGTGTATGCAGTGCCTGAGGAGGTCAAAAGAAGATGTTGAATGCTCTGGAGATGGAGTTACAGGTGGTTGTGAGCCACCTGATGTGGGGGTACTGGTAGATGAACTCTGGCCCTCAGGAAGAGCAGCAAGTGCTCTTGACTGCTAAGCCGTCTCTCCAACCAACCCCGTTTGTTTGTTTGTTTGTTGTTTGTTTGTTTGTAGACAGGGTCTTTGTGTATAGCCAGGCATGCCTTGAACTCTTGATGATCCTTCTGTCTTCACCCCCAGGTGATAGGATGACAGGTGTGTGTTACCATATCTGGCTCTCAACATGGTCTGTCATGGTCTGGTCTGCCTCCACCTCTCATGCTTATCTGAATTGGTCTCCCTGTTGCCAGGCACCAGCCTTGATGTTTTCCCTGAGGCCCTCGGCATCTTTGTTCTTGTGTTACACAATCCCATCTCTCCTGAGGCATCCTCACAGCTGATCTGGGATCATATGCCTGGTGTGAGAGATGGGGCAAAGGGTTCAATGTCTCAGCCTCTACAGAGAGAGCAGAGACTGCCACTTTTACCAAAGCTCACACAGTACTGGACTAGCCAGACCCAAATGGAGTTCAGATGCTGCACAGGGAACAGCACTGAGCAACTTGCTGAGGAGGACATGCAAGTATGAAGCAGAGCTGAATTGTCAGAAAGGGGCTTACAAGTACTTACGATGGTTGGGACTTTACGGCCAGCTAGGCCCTATTTAAAAAAAAATCCCCTCTCATGAACCCAAAGCTGGGGTCCCCTCTTGTGAGCTGGACCTGTGGTTCCATCCTTGGAGCTGGAGCTATGGTCCCCAGCCGTGAGCCATAGTTCCACATTCCTCTGGTGCTGGACTGATGGTGGAGCCAAGTAGAGGATGGAGGACTTTTTGATATTGGGCAGTAGTTCTAGCCTTCTCTGAGTGGTTGCACTCCCCACAACTCCCTTTCCCCAGGTCCCAGGTTGTGCATGGCAATGGCTTTGCCTCTGTGTTGGATTTATGCTGGGGACGGGAGGTTTCTGTCATTTGCACATTCTACTCTTGGGAGACTGATTCTCTAGAATAGGCCTCCCTGAGGGCCAGCTGTGGTCTTTACTCCACACATGGTCCTGGGCAACCAGGCCTAGATGTTGGACCTCTTTTTCCCAGATATCAAGAGGTTTTTCCATTATTTTTCCATTACTCTCTACAACCCCAGTGTGCCTTCACTTATGCCCTGCAGAAAATGTAAAACACCTAATTGAACTTCTAGAGATAAAAATCACATTCTGGGAAGTTTTTTTTTTTAAGTACTGTAATAACTAAACTGATATAATTCTCAAACTAAAAATATGTAATTGTATTTTAGTATGTAAATTTGCAATTCTGTATGTCTACTGGGATTTTTAAATATTATTTACTGACAAAACTGTACTACCAAGCTTCAACAATAGTATGAAATTTGTCACTGTGGCTGGCTGTAATATTTGCCATTCACTCCCCTTCCAAATTCTCCACCTATACAAAGCTCTTTAATGTAATCATATTTGTATTTTGTTTTT